AGATTTTCCCGGATATTAGGCTACTTCCGTTCGACACCTCTTGACGGGATCAACCGGATAAAACGGAAATCACTACCGTACTCCCAGCAAATTCGAGATTACGGTATCTGTCCCGCAAAAACGTGTGTCTGCCCGCCCGGGGCAAACAGAATTAATCAGGCCATGTCGCCACCCGGGGGGAATTCATTGGCCGGGCCCCTGGAAGGCGAGACAAAATGAGGGTGGGGGGATCCATGGAAACGTTGAGAACAGGCGTAATTAGAAGATGTTTGTCAGGCTACGCGGCACTCCCCAGCAGACAGCGGTGGGATTTCGGAAATTCGCGTATTAAGACCGATTTCGGTGACAATAACAAGGGCAGGTGATTCCCTACGCGAAAAAGGGTCTGAATTTCACGAGAATATGAGGTTTACGGTCATTTCGAAGCCCAATAAATGTGGAAAATTTAAAGGGACTGACAAGGAATCACTCTCCGTTTTTCTAGCTATAGAATTATTTACCTTATCGGTCCCTTTAAAGTTTATACGATCAAATTACGAAAATTGTAGAATGGATAGCGTAAAAATGAGCGGAGTAGCGTCTCGTACTTAGCTTTGCGACAACAGCCCGATTGTCGGTAGATTTGGCGCATTTCTATCGAAAAATCACGTTACGTCACGCGCACGCGACGCGTCTGAAGCTCTTTTAGCTCCTTTAACTCCCAGCTCCCATCCGCTAGTTAAACTTTTTAAATTACTGGAAATGCTCCTAGAGACCCAATTTGAAAAATACGTGCAAAAAGTAGCCATGCATCCGCGTCACGTTCCCATGGAGATTTCGGAACAAATTAGCCGGCTACATCGAGATTTCCTTGAAAAAAAAAGGTCCACAAAATGAAGACGACGTCATAAACGTCGCATAAATTTTGTACGCTATTTTCCGAGCGTTTTATGAGGAAATTTTACGAGTACGGACGTAAAAAGAGAAAAATGTAGTTGACCTTTCCAAAACCTTGTCCTTTCCATAGAAACCCTGGGGAAAAGCTAAAGTTAGAAATGATGCGAAAACAAGAAACTGCTGTCGACGCTGCTAAATATTTCATTCAGGACGCCTTCATCCTCGGCACGTCGAAACCCCTTGGACAAATCTCTGGCCTTGGAATCACATCCAAGGGACATCTTCTAGCCTTCCATCGAGCTGAGCGGGAATGGACTGAGGAGTTGGTTATTACTATACCCTCTTTAGAGAAAAATCAGCTGCCAAAGAATAGAAAATAAAAAAGAATAGAAAACCATAGAAAATCTATCGGCATTTTAAAGTTCTGTGAGTTTTTCGTCGAAAAAAATGCTAACTAATCAACGCTAATTTTTATTTGAAAAAAATACTCAAAAAGTGAGCTCAAAACCTATTTCGAGAGGTTAGGTATCGATTGAAAAGGTTACACAAAGCTTTAGCGATTCTATTACCCATTTTTCAGGTCTTTCTCAAAGGATTTCAAGTTCAATGCCCATACCGGTATGATTGCCAACGCCACGATTGCCGTCATTGACCCGGCCAATGGACAGGTAAAAAAATTTGATAAATGTTTATATATCTGATTTTTATCCTATTTTTAATTATGTTTAATTTAGTTAAAACAATCGATAATACCTTTTCCAGGTTGTCGCCGAGCACGGAAAGAATCAATTCTACCTACCCCACGGGCTGACCGTCGACCACGAGGATAACATTTGGGTGACGGACGTTGGAGCGCATCAGGTGAATTGATTTTTATTTATGGAAATTTGAGAGTTATTTATGAATTACATCTTTTATATAAAGCGTTTTTAGGTCGTCAAAATGGACAAAAACTTCAAAGTTCTAATGACCCTGGGTGAGAAGCTGGTGCCCGGAACTGACGAGAAACACTTCTGCAAACCCACCGATATTGCTGTCGCTTCTAATGGGTATTTTAATTATGTTAAATTTTAAATCCTTTAATATAATAAAATATTGATTATTTATAGCTATTTCTTCGTTGCTGATGGATATTGCAACAGCCGTGTCCTCAAGTTCAACGCAAAGGGGCAATTTGTTGACATCGTTGGATCGGAGATGGGTGGGTTGAAAAATTAATTAATTACTTGCTTATTTCATGATAATAATTTTGCTGTGGTCTCTGTCCGTCTGTCTGTCTGAAGCCGAATTCAACTCGAAGGGGAAAGGAGCTAGAGCTTAGGTCTCTTCGGATTCGGATAGAGCGTGGTCAGAAACCCCCAAACTGATAAAAAAATTATTAAAAACTTTTAGTTTAAATTATTAAAATTAACTTTGAAAGTGGCGTCTTAATAAAACGAGTGGGGGCCCCTAGGCCACGCCCCTTTCCCTTCGCCCCTCTTCCCCAGGCCCCTTCGCGCACCCAGATCGCTTTTTTAAGTTACTTTAATACTTTTTAATACTTTTTAATTATGTTAATTAATTATTTAAATTATTTAAAGTATCTAAAGCCATCATGAAGGTATTTAGGTAGTTTTGAAGGGGATTTCAGCCATGGGGGTATCTGAAGCCATCAGGAAGGTATTTAGGTAGTTTTTGAAGGATTTCAGCCATGGGGGGGTATCTGAAGCCATCAGGAAGGTATTTAGGTAGTTTTTGAAGGGGATTTCAGCCATGGGGGTATCTGAAGCCATCAGGAAGGTATTTAGGTAGTTTTTGAAGGGATTTCAGCCATGGGGGGTATCTGAAGCCATCAGGAAGGTATTTAGGTAGTTTTTGAAGGGGATTTCAGCCATGGGGGGTATCTGAAGCCATCAGGAAGGGATTTAGGTAGTTTTTGAAGGGGATTTCAGCCATGGGGGTATCTGAAGCCATCAGGAAGGTATTTAGGTAGTTTTTGAAGGGGATTTCAGCCATGGGGGGTATCTGAAGCCATCAGGAAGGGATTTAGGTAGTTTTTGAAGGGGATTTCAGCCTGGGGGGTATCTGAAGCCATCAGGAAGGTATTTTGGTAGTTTTTGAAGGGGATTTCAGCTATGGGGGCTATTGATGGAGGTGGGAAAGGATGTGGTGGAGTGGGACATGTAGGGTAGCCCGAAGGCCAGATGGTTGCAGTCGCGAAGCGACTGTAACCATCTGGTTAAGTAATTAATTTTTTAATTGTAGAATTTAATAAATAAAAACAAATGACGTTCTCTAGACCCCTTCATCATCCCCCATTCAATCGCCCTGATCGAAGATCTAAACCTGCTGTGCGTGGCTGATCGTGAGAACGAGCGTGTTCAGTGCTTCTCGGCTGGTCGGTTTGATGATATTAGCCATAGATTTTTATATAAACGTAATATACGTCTAAATAATCTAGTTTTATACATTATCGTTAAATCACTAAATCGTAACTTTTTATTCAGGCCTGAAAGAGGGACACCGCTCGATCCCCGCCGGAATTCCGATCACCTCTGCTGATGATATTGGACGAGTTTTCGCGATTCGTGAGCGAGGTAATTATGGCGTTTAAATCGGGAGTGATCTAGGTCTTCTGGTAGTATTTCGGTTCTAGGATTAACCCAGAAATAGCCGGTCATCGCTTTTGGGTGATGGCTTCGGGAAAATGCCCCTTTTTAAGGTTTCACACGTTTGTATCGTACAGAAGCACCGTGATTCTTAGTTACCCCTACACGGTTTTGAAACGAAATACGATAATTTGACCTTATTAATTGCAATTTAATTAATTTGGCATTGATTGGCCTGTTCTTTCTGGTTCGGGTAAAAAATTTTGATTTTCCACATGAAAATCCCCCCTTTGCCCTTCGATTCGACGCTGTTAAGCCTTTGCCGATTATCTTAGCATATTCTCGGATATTTTTAATAGCAATATACCCAACATTAAGACTTTTACGAAAATTCTAATGATCTGTATACTCTTCCAGCCCACTACCTTGTCGGCGTGACCGGTGTTGACCAGCAAGACTCCCTCGAGCCCCAAGTGTTCGCAATGGATATGGATACCGGAAAAGCACAAACATATCTCAAGGTTAGTCATAGTTAATTTATCCTTTATAATATTTGTTAAAAACTATGTTTCAACGCAACAACGTTAAAAATTTTTAGCAAAAAAATTAGAAAAATTTCGATTTTCGGCTAAAATGCCAGTTTTTAAAAGATTTTCCGTGTTTTGTAAATTAATAAATGGTTATAAAAGGCTACGGATTAATCTGAATACTAAAACCTATTAAAAATGAAATTTAATAAAAGTATAAAATTAATTTTTTAGGGCATCGAAAACGGGCACGCTTTGGCCATCTCGAAGGACGGAACCGTCTACGTGGCCCAGATGAACCCCAACCAAATTGTCGGCCTCAATTTGGCATAAATAACGAAATCGAAAGAAATAATTGATATTGAAACTTGTGTCCTCCTCGTCCTCCACCCCGGTATCAAATCAAGACGTGTCAATTTGCTAGAGCTCTCCCGCTCTATCCACTTCATCCTCCCGGTGTCCCCTCCCCATACTTCTAATATAACTATATTGTTAACCCATCAATAAAGCTGTAAATAAAGCTCATTATAGAGGCGCCAAATTACACAATATCTTTGCGCAGATTATTAAAATTTAAAAATTATATTAAAACTAAAAAACTTCAACTTTTTCCTTAGGATCGCATTGTTCTACTATAAATAGAAGAAGTAATTTTAATAGTTTTTTACTTGTATATAAAACCGTCACAACTTTTAATCACGAAATTAAAAAAATAACGATGTTTCGACATCAATTCGACCAAAATGTCATAATTTACTTTTTTAGATGGATTTTCCGATTGAAATATATTTTAATTTTACTAGCAAACTTACTAAAAGATTACTATTAGCTTGCTTGGCGTTTCTTCTATAAAATCTATTTTATTCAAATGTCTAAAATTTTAATCGCTGCTATGGATACACGAATTTCCGGTCGTCAAGCTTCCCCGTCATCAGCTGAGCGAAGAAATTCTGAAAACGCTAGGTAGACATTTTCGAAATAAGGATAAATAATATAAGAAGCTCCCTACCTTAGCAGCACCCAGAAATTTGTCAGCCTCCTCCTTGGTCGTCAAGTCGACAACATCATCGCAGATATTTTGGCACTCGGAAAATGGACGCTTTCCTGCTCCGTACATTTGGGTTTGGGCCGCTTAAAAGGTTACAGTAGCATCGGTATTCATAAAAAAAGCATATATAGCATGCCGGGTGCTAAAACGTACATACGACCCTGCGTAAAACTTTTTCTTACCTAGGCTCGTCATCGGGAATTCGTTCTGATCGATTTTTGTGTCGGCCGATCCGAGCACACCGTCGAACAGGATTTTCTTCGGAAGGTCTGAATCATCGTATTCAAGTCCATAAAATGACTTACCTGGCTCGGCGGCTATCGGCCTTCCTAGACCCACAGCATCGCAATGGCCCTCCTCGATCACTTTGGTCATCCACTGCAATGGGAAAAGACTTGAAAAGTTTCCGAAACATCTCTGCTAACGAGGAGAGAGAGAGAGACAGAGAGACGGAGAGAGAGAGAGAGAGAGAGAGGGGGAGAGATAGAGAGAGTGAGAAAGACAGATTTTCAAATTACCTTGGCTGTCCTAAAACCTCCCGTCACAAACATCTTCGTCTCCTTGAAAACGGGCCGGATCTGAACACTCATTCTCGTGCTGGCCACTCCCTTTAAAAAGCCTACCTGAGCAGCAAAATCGACAAAGAAAGCCTCTCGGTCCCGGGTGGAATCTCGGAGATGCACAAATGCGAGCTTTTCATAGGTACCGCCCGACATTTCCACAAAGTCCACATCGCCACGATTCTGAAAAGGATACGGTAAGTTACGCGTAAAATCGTGGATTCGAAACTTTAATGGACCTTTAAAGTTTACCTCAATAAGTTGGCACATTTCCTTGGCGTCTTCCGTCTCGAGACCACCGTCTTGGAACTCGACCGAATTGAATTTTACTCCAACGAGGAAACCGGTGGAGGCGGGGATACGGTGGCTGGGATTAAAGGATTTGAGAATTTTCTCTCTCTCTATCTATCTCTCTCTCCTCTTTATCACTCTCTCCCTCTCCCTCTCTCTCTCTCTCTCTCTCTCTCTCTCTTACCGTATCTCCTCAATCGTGTCGAGTACCATGCGTACTCGATTCTCAGCTGATCCGCCATATTGGTCAGTCCGTTTGTTGGTGGATGGAGACAAGAATTGGGCCAACAGGAATCCGTGGGCAGCGTGAATCTCACACCCATCAAAGCCTAGGGATACGGTAGAACGGGGCAACAGTTAGGAATTACCAGCCTCTCGGCAGACTTCAGCGGCAAAGGCGAACCGATCGATCACCTCCGTTTTGAGCTCGGCTACTGAAATTTTATTGATTTACGGTATTACGGAATTGATATTGATAGTAGCTACAGACTACACCCGATTACGTACGAGTGTATGGAGTCGGTTTCCCAAAGGTGAATCCACGCGTATTAGCCTCTAGCTGGATATCGGAGGCCGATTTGGGATTAGGGTTGACACAGGCGGGGGTCTGACGACCGCCCTGTAACCAGGGTTTAAGGAATAGTAACAGGAGAACGGATATCTGGCTTAAAATTGCTGCGATAGCCCCTTAGGCTATCGTAACCGCTTGTGACAGTCGGAAATAGATTTTTTTGCTAAAATCAACTGTCGCCAGCCCTTAAGAGCACCGTATCCTGTATTTTAAAGGGATGATGACAGTAAAAACCTTCTTTTTTACGGATTTCTTTAATATTATTTTTCAACTCACATGGGTAAATTGAGCAATGGCGAGCGTACCATCACTTTTGCATGCGTCTGCGTACCTGAATTTTTTCCTGTTCACGCTCTCCCTCTCACTCTCGCTCTCTCCCCCCTCTCCTCTCTCTCTCTCTCTCTCTCTCTCTCTCTTTCTCGCTTACCTCTTCAATAACTCCCTCAATTTCGGTGAATCATTCTCCCTCGACACCACGATATTACCAGGAGCTTCCGGGTGAAGCTGAAATATAGAAATATCAGGGTCTTTTGAATTTATGTAATTATCTCTTAAACCGACCGGATCGACAGCGATATTTCCAGTGATCAACAGCCCGAAACCGCCATTCCCCCATTTCTGATACATATTGATGATTGTCTCGGTGGGAAGACCATGCTCCTTCATATTCTCCGGGCAGATTGGGGCTATCATCTCGCTGAGACCTGCCTAAATTTAGTTCAAATTTTAAAGCGCTGGCCAGCTTAGGCATATCAGTAGTTATTGAAGAATTTAGGACAGACCGTCTGGCTAGCTAGCGGTGTTTTTTTCGAAATGGGCAAGCAGGCTAGCAAGGGCCATTTAGGATTTTCTCTTGTTAACTAGCATAGACCAGGGTTGAAAAACCGCTTCGCGGCTTTTCAACCCTGGCCCCGTCTTCTCGCATTCTTGACTTTGCATAATCTTCCCGGATTCGGATGACGAAAATGAAAAATGCTCTTGCCGTCCCTTTATATAGGCTACCGCGACTTCCGGTGCATGCTAATTTTTGCCTAACAAATTGGGGTGTCCGATTTTCCATGAAAAACTTAATTTTAATGTCGAAAACATCATATTTTGTAAGATCTGATATGTGTGCAGTCATCTCCAGCCCATTACGCACCTAATGACCTATCGAACATACCCCTAACTAGGGAAGTGCAAATAAAAAACCCAGCAAACCGCTTAGCAAAAATATGGGTCTGATAGGAGTCGGCGACGAGGATTCCGAAACTGCAATCAGAATTTGCTAAACGCTTAATACAAAAAAGTTATGAGCATTTTAAGTTTTGCATTTGTCTCGTATTCTCTCTTTCTCTCTCTCTCTCGCATTCGTCGTTCTTTTGGACTTCGAAACTTTGAAAAAGTTTCGAAGAGAGAAAGAGAGAGACGGAGAGAAAAAGGAAACACCGGAGGAACCGACGATGATTCTCTCCGTCTCTCTGTCTCTCTGTCTCTCTCACCCTCCACTTCCTCCCTTCTCGTCATCGTCGGTTCCTCCGGTGTTTCCTTTTTCTCTCCGTCTCTCTCCCGAAGATTCTCTCCGTCTCTCTGTCTCTCTCACCCTCCACTTCCTCCCTTCTCATTAAGCATCGTCGGTTCCTCCGAGTGTTCCTTTTCTCTCCGTCTCTCTCTTTCTCTCTCTCGCTCTCTCTCTCTCTTTCTCTCCGTCTCTCTGTCTCTCTCACCCTCCACTTCCTCCCTTCTCGTCATCGTCGGTTCCTCCGGTGTTTCCTTTTTCTCTCCGTCTCTCTCTTTCTCTCTTCGAAACTTTTTCAAAGTTTCGAAGTCCAAAAGAACGTTCTCTTAATTTTTAAATTCATGCAGCCAATTACTGAGTGGTGGCCTGAGTGCAGAGTACTTTTTTCGGGTAGGAGCACTAAAAAAGTCCCTTCTGTTTTTTTCGTAAGGTACGCCTACACGCAGTCAATAATAAAGAAAATGTTAAAAACTCTAAATTTTGGACCTTGAAACTTTTAAAAAGTCTAAAGTTGTTGACTTTGACCAAAAAGCAAAAAGTTTTGAATGACCGGGGAGTCGAACCAGAGGCCCTTTGCTCAAGAGACCAACCACTTATCCACTACACCACTCGGCCGGCGGATCTCCCGGATTCGAAGATTCGAATTTGATGCAAAACTTAAAATGCTCATAACATTTTACATGTTCAGCGTTTAGCAAATTCTGATTCCAGTTTCGGAATCCCCGTCGTCGACTCTATCAGACCCATATTTTTTGCTAAGCGGTTTGCTGGGTTTTTTTATTTGCACTTCCCCAATAAGTACTTTCCCTCTTGAGATACTGCTGGAACTCGCTGACGGAGTTGCATGCAAATGCACACACACACACAGGAACTATTTTTTTATATATAGTAGGATCATTAAAAATGCCTGGCATGCTAGCAGCGATCTCTAGGCCTGAAAATCTGCGGCAGACAGAAGAGACCGTTTAACAAAATTCCGAACCAGCACTTAGGAGCATTTAAGAATTTCGGGACAATCTAGCTGGAGACCTTGTGGAGATTTACCGAAATACTGGCGCCGTCAGCAACCTCGGTAAGCAGGAAGCATGTGCGAAAATTTATGGTAAGCTAGCAGGGACCATTATGGAATTTGTGGTCACTAAGGGCATAATAAATCACCTTT